GACGGCGTCTACGCGGCGCTTGGTCGTCCGCCCGCCTTGTGGACGCTGAGGATTATGTAGACGCCGTCTACATGGTACCTGCCGCCGCAGCCCGCGCCCAGGCCAGCGCAGCGCGCAACGCGCTCGCGTGGAACCTGCGGCCTTCGCAAGCTGGGCGACTCGAAAAAGGACTAGCGCTTCGCAGCGCGACCCATGCCTGCGCAGGCTAGAAGTTTAGCGAGGCAAGCAGCTGGCAGCCCAGCTGCTTCAGACGGCGCCACGTTGGCTTGGAACCCGTTCAAGGGTTCCACCGCGAATGGAACCCTAAACCCTAAAAGTCTTTACCTTGGGTGGCTGGGGCGGGCGAACTTGGCTACGCGAAGCGAGCGGCTTGGGGGATTTTATCCCCGAGCGAGCAACCACATCTGCACACCCTAAACCCTAAACCCTAAACCCTAAACCCTAAACTCAAGGCCGAGCGCCGTACCGCAAGCGCTCGGCCGCAGCAGCTGCATTGGTGCTGGCGCAGAGCGAGTCCGGCATGCGCCCCGAGTTGCGTTCCTCTGCAACGAGCGCGGTTTGGAGCTTTAGCTCCCGCTGCCAGCGAAAGCTGGCCTTAGAAGGAGTAACCCCAAACCTTCAACGAAGCGCAGCGTCCTCCTTATGAACTTTATCAAGGCTCCTTATACGAAGCTTTAGAAGAAGCTTTAAAAGAAGCTTTGTAAGAAGCTTGAAAAGCAGCTTCCTAAGAAGCTTTAAAGAATAAGAAGCTGCGTAAGAAGCTTTGTAAGAAGCTTTAGAAGCTGCCCGCTCGCTTTGCCAGCTCTTTCTAAAAATGGCTCGACTTGGCCGTTGATAAACTGCTTGTACGGGGCAATATGAAAGCCCAAATCTAGAGATCTGGCTATGTGGCCGCTTCTTGGTGATAAAACGGCGATAAAGCGGCCACTGTTGCTAAAACTGCTATTGAGGCTGGCCGGCCTTGATAAAACGGCCATCGGCTTTGATAAAACGGCCACTACGGCTGGCCTTGATAAAACGGCCAGTCGCTTTGCCAGCCCTTGATGAAACTGGCTCGGCTTGGCCGCTGATAAACTCCTTATACGTGGCGGCCATCCGCAGCCCGGATCTAAGAGATCTGGCCATTTGGCCGCTTCTGATTGATAAAGCGGCCATTGCGGCCACTGGCCTGGTCCTCGACCTTGGTAAAGCGGCCACTGTTGATAAAACTTGATAAAACGGCCATCGGCTTTGATAAAACGGCCACTGCGGCTGGCGGGCCTGCCATTCGCTTTGCCAGCCCTTCCTAAAAATGGCTCGGCCTGGCCGCTGATAAACTCCCCATACAGGGCAATATAAAATCAGCCATCCGTAGCCCGAAGCTAGAGATCTGGCCATTTGTCCGCTTCTGGTTGGTAAAACGGCCATTGCGGCCACTGGCCTGGTCCTCGCCCTTGATAATCTGGGCCGCCCGTGTTGCGACATAGGCTTTGGGCCGCATATGCCATAGCGGCCTCCAAGATCCCCCCGCTTTGCATCGCTCGGAAATTTGTTTTGGGAAGCCCGTCGGGCCAGCCCCGACAGCGCCAAAATAACGGAGCGTGCGCGAGCGACGGCGCGGGTTTGCCATGGCTGTCGCGGAAGCTTTGCCCGGAAAATTGTTTCGGGAAGCCCGACGGGCCAGACCCCAGCGCCAAAATAACGGAGCGTGCGCGTGCGACGGCGCGGGTTTGCCATGGCTGTCAGCGTCCAAGATCCCCCCGCTTTGCATCGCTCAGAAACTTGTTTCGGGAAGCCCGTCGGGCCACCCCCCAGCGCCAAAACGACGGAAGCGAGCGCGAGGGAGGCTGTCGCAGAAGCATTGGCCGTCGCCCGGAAAATTGTTTCGGGAAGCCCGACGGGCCAGCCCCCAGCGCCAAAATAACGGAGCGTGCGCGTGCGGCGGCGCGGGTTTGCCATGGCTGTTGCGGAAGCTTCGGCCGTCGCCCGGAAAGTTGTTTCGGGAAGCCCGACGGGCCAGCTCCCAGCGCCAAAATTACGGAAGCGAGCGCGAGCGACGCGCCCCCTCCGAGGCTGTCGCGGAAGCTTCGGCCGTCGCCCAGAAAGTTTTTTCGGGAAGCCCGACGGGCCCGACCCCAGCGTCAAAACGACGGGGAAGCCGGGAGGAGGTTAAGATGTGCGGGAGTGAATTGACTTTTCGGGGCAGCCCGAACGGGCCCAGAACTCAAGCCCAGTTTCTTCAATAAGCTAAGGGTTTAAGGGTTTAAGGTTTTAGGGTTTAAGGGTTTAGGGTTTAGGGTTTAGGGTTTAGGGTTTAGGGTTTAGGGTTTAGGGTTTAGGGTTAGGGTTTAGGGTTTAGGGTTTAGGGTTTAGGGTTTAGGGTTTAGGGTTTAGGGTTTAGGGTTTAGGGTTTAGGGTTTAGGGTTTAGGGTTTAGGGTTTTAGGTTTTAGGGTTTTAGGGTTTAGGGTTTAGGGTTTAGGGTTTAGGGTTTAGGGTTTAGGGTTTAGGGTTCACAGGATTTGAGACATGGAAATCTTCATAGCGACGTCAATCAAAAGCTTCGATCTCAATCCCACCCACCCAGGCCCGCTACCAAGGGTCAGCTTTCACACCAGCGCAACCAACAAATCGAACGCAGCGAAAGCAAAGCGCGACCGACGAAGTAGGTGACGAACTGCAAAAATCGGCGAGCAGCGAACGAGACAAATTAGCAGGCGGCAAGCAATATGTTGCAAGGGCAGAGAGTAGCTGCGAGTTTCTGTTCGCAAGGGGCCAGTAAACTACGTGCGCTGAGAAGCGCTTCATGAAGCAGCCCCCACGGCTTGGCGATGATATCGAGTTCGTGTTTAGCTGAGGCGCAGCACCCCCACCAGCTTCGAAGAGCGGATCAAGCGTACTGATGACGAAAGGCTGCCGCGCTTTCTTGATTGCCGGAAATGGAAAACCACGGCGCGGCCACAAACAGCGTTGCGGCAGCCCGAAACTACCGCGGGCCCGGGGCCACCCCGCTTCAGAGACGGACGCACGACCGCTAGGCTACTGAAGCTGCGGCGGGGCCCCGCCGCGCCCGCGGCCCACGCGCGGGCACGAGCCCTTAACCCAGAAAGCGCTCAAGCTTACCTCGCGCAAATCTGCCCGAACGGATTCGAGCAGGAAACTTGCGGGAAACACACAGAACTGAAAAGAAAGCTTTCAGAGCGCGCCGACTCAGCGCAAAGCGCGCGCCAGGGAGGAACCGAGCCCGGGACCGCCCGCTTCAGAGACGGACGCGCGACCACTAGGCCACCAGCCCCGCGGCGGGACCCTGGCGCGCCCACGGCTCAGCCACGGCCAAGAGGGCCCGACCTAGAAAGCGCGCACATTTGGCGCGCGGCAAAATTTGCGATTTTAGGCTCGAACTTGGATTTGACCAACGAAACCGATTTAGAAGCTTGCGGGACACGCGCAGAACTAAAAAGAAAGTCTTAAGAAAGCCCCCTGCGGGCGCACCCGTTGTAGGGCAAACATTTAAATATATATACTAGAGTAGAGAATAGAGGTTTAGGGTTTAGGGTTTAGGGTTTAGGGTTTAGGGTTTAGGGTTTTGGGTTTTGGGTTTTGGGTTTTGGGTTTTGGGTTTTGGGTTTTGGGTTTTGGGTTTTGGGTTTTGGGTTTTGGGTTTTGGGTTTTGGGTTTTTGGTTTTGGGTTTTGGGTTTTGGGTTTTGGGTTTTGGGTTTTGGGTTTAGGGTTTAGGGTTTAGGGTTTAGGGTTTAGGGTTTAGGGTTTAGGGTTTAGGGTCCGCCAACACAGTGTGGTGGCGCCCTAGGCAAATGTCGAGAGCGAGTAGCGGAGACCTCAAAGCTTCGAAAGTTTTTCTATATAGGGGAATCCCTGCACTGTAATCCGAAAAGGTCGAGCTAAATCACCCCTAAACTTGATTGAGTAAGCACGTCGAGTGAGAGACCGAGCACGACGTTCTAAACAGGTCGAACGCAGTTCGACAAAACGTTCTGAGCGTGAGCGAAAAGACATAACTCGACTAAGATGCTCGACCAAACGAGCAAGAGTTATGAACCACTTCAAGCTTGATCTAGGCAAGATTGAAATTGAACTCGATCAGATCAACCAAGTTGAACAACTCGAGCGTTTAAAAGGGAGATCGAACAAGATCATGCTCGCCTAACGAACGCGAAAGACAAGCTCGAACATCAAAAAGATGAGCTCGATCGACTTCGCGATAATTTAGATTAACATTTTAGCTTCAGATAAACCAACCTGAGCGAATGTAGACCGAACAAAACATGCTCGGAGCGCGGATATGAAAAGGCTAAGAGAAACGACCAAAATAGTCATTTTCGTTGACCAAAGGACTCGACGCGACTTAGCGAGGCCTTTAAACGCAAGCAAAAAATGGCTCAAGCTGGATTGAGATAATTGCTCAGGCAAAGGCTTATGCAAACGCGTAGCCGAAAATCAGCAAAATTCCGAGACGTAGTCACTCTCGACAACTCAAACCGAGACCTGAGCTCACAATGTTAGGTTCGAATATCGTGCCCAGTTAGTTCTAGAAGCTTCACGGAAATGGGGAAGACCTAAGCCCCAGAACTATCGAACATCACGCGACTCGCGCCTCGCGCCAGGCAACTCGGAGCACTCCGCGCTCTTGCGCCGCGGCGGCCTCGCGCGCGCGTCTCCGACTAGACCTGAGTCCCGCGACTGCAAGACAACAACCACGCGAGCGAAGCGTGAATCATGTCCCCCGCCTCGGCAAAGCGGACTGCTCTAAAGGCCTCGGCCCGTCAGGACAAGAGCGTCATCGCAACGCTAGCGCGCTCCCCGCGCCTTGGCGACATCTCGAAAACATAGCGCGGGCCCAACGCGGCCCCACGCATTTTGAAGCTGATGAGCTAGCAGGTCAAAGAGCCGCGCAATGCTGGGAATGTCGCATTCAAATTGCTGCGCCGCGCGCCAACAAGGCAAGACCCAATCGCGCATTTGCTTTTTGCCGCCTTCATTTAAAATCGCTCTCCAAGATCTACCCTAGCGGCAATTCGGGCAGAATCGTTTGCGGATCTGTTCTTCCGCCGAATTCTCGCTCCATTTCCTCTTGCATCTGAGACAAGTACGTTCGCCCCGTTTGCGATCTGCCGCGCAGTTGGGGCAGCGTTGGTTGATGTAGACGGCAGAAGACGTGGGCAGAAAAGCCGCGCAGCCTCGGCACTTCTCCCATCCGGCCCGGAGCCGACGAGCCTTGCCGCGCACCGCGTCCTGGCAACTTTGACACGCGGCCGCCCACGGCAGCGTCAACGCAGATAGGTGGAACTCCTTCAGCGGCTTCACCTCTGCGCATTGCGAGCAAGTCAACTCCGAGACGTTCTTCAAACACGCGATGCAATTTCGCCTTTCTTCTGCACGAGGCTGCCGAAGTTGAGCTCGGGGAAACGCGTGCTCCACTTTCTCGAAGCCGCAGCCAATGCAGCGCAGCCGCTCAACATTGGAAGGCAGTTTGCGCTTGCAGGCGCCTCCATCCTTATGAATGCAAGTCAGACAAGTGGCAGGCAGGTTGGCTCTGGCTTTGTCCCACTGGGCGTCCGCGAAGTAGTCGAAAGGCTTAACCGCTTTGCATTGTTGGCACGGCGCGCTGGGCGCGCGGGCCTCGCGGTAGTTGACCCGTGCTTGATCTCGTCACTCACTTAAGATTCGAACAACTCAGCGCAAGGCGGAATAGGCGGGCTCAGGACGCGAAACGGTTTCCAATTTAGATAATCTCGAAGTCGCATACCTCGCTCGATCATTCTTTTCTCCACTCGAGCCGCATATATAGAAAGGTCGAGTCGGACGACGACGCGGGGTCTGATCCTTGACTGATCAGACCCAAAAATCACGTCTAGCCACAAAGGCCAGACGTGTTGACAGTCCAAGGCAGCTAGACGCAGCCGGCTTTGCCAGCGGGAAAGCATCTTGCGAAAACGCCGATTGCACGCGCGCTCGCTCGGAAGAGTTTGCCCCACCAAGCTCACAAAGACAGAAATCTCCGCCAGCAAGGTCAGCGGCGCCTCGTAGACGCACCAGCGCCACCCCCGGCATGGGAACGTCCATCCCACGCAGCGGCGCTGCAGGTCTGCCTGCAGTAGGGCCAAGGTCAAGAGCCGCGAGCCGGCGCTCGGGCCCATGAACTCGTCCACGAAGGCCGCGACGTCTTTTCGCAACTGACTGTCGTCCTCTGCACCTTCGGTCTCGTCTTCTGTGTCGATCATATCCGCCCACCGACGGCGCGCGGCAGCCATGGCTAGCTCTGCGGCGTCGGCCCCGGCCCCAGGTCATCGAGGCTACACGCGTGGGTCGCAAACCGAGCATAGGCGTCGCTTTCTTTTTTGCGACATGAAACTGACACGCCCGCCTTTGACTAGCGAGCTGCTCTCTCCCTAGGCGCGCCCTTTTTTTTTCCCCTCGCGCCTTGTCCAGGCTCATATCTTAAAACTGGCCTGCGTCTACGACGCGCGACGGGGCTCAGCCCGACGCTGTGGCCGCGCGCAGGCGAATCTACGTGGAGACGATCTCGCTCAGGTCTTCTACCGCGCGGCTGCGGCGCAGCGTCTCCCCTCCCATAGATTCCATCGGCAGCGTTTCCTCTTCGTCTTCTGGCCCTATCGATCGCTCCGGGAGAGGCGGGGCCTGAGCTGGGGTCTCACTCACGGCAGGCTTCTTCGTCTTGCGCGTCGGCTTGGCGGGCGCGGAGCGCTTGGTCGCCGCCGGCTTGGCCCGCGCGTCTTCGGGACCTCGCCGGAAGACATTGAACCCGATCGCCGTCGAAGGCCGCCAGTAGGGCACGGGCTGCGGCAGCCGGAAAACCCCAGTCAGGGTCATACCACATAATCGGTCTCCGTAGGGCGCCGGGTTCTGGGCCGGCCAGCGGTGCTGCTCCCTCGTCGCCTCGAATTCTTCTTGAGACAGTTTGCGGGCAGCCGAAATAGTGACGCCGCCCCAGACTTGGCCGGTCGCCCCGAGCCAGGCGAAACCATGCCGGACTCGACAGCTGCGTAGTTCCATTGTCTTTTTGCCGCCCAAGACGTCGTCCAACCAAGGCTGGCGCAGGACGAGGATCCGATCGCCGATCGCAGGCTCCCGCGTCGCAGTCGCGGCCCGCGCTCCGCCTGGCAGTCACCCGAGACTCCAACACGCAAGCCCCGATAAAAGGCGTCGTTTAGACGCACGCGCGCGCGTGCGTTCCCTTCCATGGCCTGGCGGCGCCCCGCCCTCAGGACCAGGCCCGTCTTCTTGCTGCGGGCGCTGCGTTCCTTGACAAGGACTGGGGGAGGGGGGGGGAAGCGATCCGCGACGTTCGAACACGAGCCCTCCGCCCGCCTGTTCCGTCCATCGCAGGCGCGATTGGCCTTGGGCGAGAACACAAGCGCTCGCGCGCTCTCTGTAACACGTTAAACTAAGCGCTTTCGAGCCCGAGCCCTTTTTTTCCCACCATTTTCTGCTCGCGAGGTAAATTGCGAACAACCCCGAGTCTGCCCGTTAGGCCCCTTGCCGCCCACGCCAGCCTGTCTCACGCGATTCAATGCTCGCGTCCCGGCGGGCAGTCTGCGCAAGGCCCAAATCGACTCTAACCCTAAGCCTAACACTTGAAAGTCTCACTTCTCTTCCTCGCGCTCTCCCACGAACACGGACTTGCGCTGCGAGATCCACTCGGTCATGGCGTCCGTCGGGTCTGCCACTGCGTCGACGCAGTATATCGGAAGACTGCGCAGCACTTCCTCCAACACGCGCGTCACCTTCTCTCGCCCCTCTGCCGAGTCCTCGACCTCTAGGATCCTCACATACTCCTGCTTGTCCCCTTCCTTCACGGCCGGGGCGAGGGCGCCTGGGACCCCACAGCCTCGTCGAACCTTTCGCGGAACACGAAGATTCCGCCGAAGAAGACGAAGTTATAGACGGCCTTTTCCGCGTCTTCCCCCACTTCCTTGCGCTCCATCTGGCACAACACGTGCCGCCTGCCCTTCGGCGGCACAACCCCGAAGGGCGGAGGCAACGGCAGCTTTGGAGGCGCCTCCCACGTCTCCCAGGGATTCGGCAACTCGCCAAGCTCGGCCTCGGGCTCAGCCAACGCCGCCAGTCGAGGTAGGAAGGTCAGGCGCCCCTTTCTTTGCTTGTACTCCAAGATGAAGCGAACAAAGCTCAAAGCGCTTTCCGGGCTTTGGCCCGCGCAATAGAGGACCGTTTGCCACTCTCGCATGCCGACCTCGTCCACATCGAATTTGCCAGATGGAGGCGGGCCGCCCAGAGACAGTCTCACCCGCAGGACTCGCTCCAGTGACTCCATATCCCTCACGTTCTCGTTCGGGTGTTGTGACAAGGCCTCTCGCGCAGTCAGGAGCGCCTGGGCGCTGAACGCATCTCTATGCGCTCCGTTGATCTGGACCTGCCACAGCGGGGTCTCCACCTCTTCTCCCTCGAAGACCCAGAAAGAGCTTCCCTAAGGTCGCGCTATGGCCACCAGCGCGTCGGGAAGCGCCTTCCCCAGCGGCTCTTCTCGGGCCTTCTTGCTTCCGCCTGCTTGGACCAAATCCTTTGCTTGAAAGCGGCGCTTGCCTGGCATCGCGCTACGGGAATAACAGAGCAGACCTGGTCGAGATCGGCTGTTCCTCGAGCCAAAAAGAACAGGCAGCGCTATCGCGATAAGCTTCGTGACAAGCTTCATTCTCTTGTCCCACGCGGCCGGTCTGAGGCCACGACAAGGCAGGCGTTCCCATCTGGCCAACTTGATCTGGCGGGGCCGATCGGCGTCTCTGTAACAATTTCCAACTTCCGCCGCGCCACGCCCGCGCGCCTGCGCGTAATCACTGGGATTCCCCTCGCTCTCGCCCGCTTCGGGAGCCAACTCGTAAATGCTTGAGATATCGAAGCGGCTACAACGCAAGACGATCGCAAACTCACGCAGACAAACAAGGCCCTTCCAGCGTCAATAGACTTGCCGTTCTAGATTTCTTGCCCCTTCTCAAACCCAGCATCTATCACAACTCAGCTCTAATCTAAGTCACCTAAACTCGGCGTTGCGTCAACTTGCTCCTCCGAGGCACTTTTTTTTTCTCGCTTCTTTGTGTCGTCGTCGAGTCGCTCCGGCATCAAACCCCGTCTATCTCGGCCCATCCTTAGGACCGCGCGACCCGAACTGCGGCCGACGCGCTCCATTATCTGAGGGCGGCGCGGCCCACTTCTACCACAAGCGACGAGACGGACCTGTTCTCGCTGTCCGACTCGTCTCCATCTTCAATGGAAGCCTCGAGCATTTCGAGAACGAGGATTGCCAAATCAGAGCTGAGGTCGCGGCTGCGTCCTCCATCTCCGCCGCGTATCTCGGCGACTCTTCCAGCAAGTCGACCTGCAGAGTTCAAGACTCTCGGCCTACGCGAGTCGATCCTTCCTATGCCCGCCTCCCCCGCGTAGCACACTGTGAAACCCCGCTCGCGCAAACAGGATTCGCCTGACACGGTCGGTCGCGTGAAAAGAAAGCCGCGCGATCGGCTTCCAATTTCTTAGCGCGGGGCAAAGGAGCGAGTTCTGTTCCGAGTCCCCCGTGTACTCGGGGTCCACTCCCAGAGGAACGCCAAGTTTCCTGCAAGCCTGGGTGAAACGATTTCGAGCATATATCTACACAAACGATGCCCGAGGCCGGGGCGCAGCACGCGAAAATCCCCTCATCTTCAACAAGGGCCACCGCCATTGGGCCAAACGAGCTGGGAATAGGGGGGGAGGGAGGCCGCAAACCGCAATCTACACTGAGAGGCAGTGGCCGGCGCCAAAGCACACTGAAGCAAAGCTGACTGCGTCAGATTATCGCAACCCTTTTCTAACTTCAAGCCCTTTGCCTTTTTTCCATCTTTGGGCATTATTCTATTTCTCTGTCAGAGAAACTCTAACATCATGCTCGTGCCCGTCTCTGACGGATTTGGCCCCGCGTGTCGCAAAAAGGGTTCCTGTCGTCGAGCGAGAGAAGATTAGGCGCGACAACTCGGATGTTTTCCGAAACGCAGTTGAATCTCAAACGCGAGAATATCGATAAGTCTGTCCTGGAAGCGCTCGCTCCCACATCGCGCAGGCAGTGGACACCTCGATCGAGAACGCATGTGGCCCCACGCATCGCAAAAAGGGCTCCTGTCGTCAAGCGAGAGAACATTAGGCGCGGCAGCTCGGTCATTGTTAGGGACCCATTGGAATCTCAAACACAAGAATATCAATAACTCTGTCCTGGAAGCGCTCGCTCCCGCGTCGCGTAGGCAGTAGAGCGGACGCCTCGACCACGAGCGCGTCGTTGGCTCGCCTCCATTCCTTACCAGGCGCAAATGGCAGACCCCATACGCACGCATATGCACACATATACACATATGAAACTTCCTTAGGTGATACTGCCAACAGCGGCAAGTTTAGTCTCGCCATCTTTTTTAAAAAAAATAGAATATCAAATCGCTGCGTACCACACGCGACAGCGATCTTTCCCTCGTGGAATACGGGGCATCATTTAGTTCAACCCAACAATGAAGGAAAACTAAATACTTCGCTCGACATATCATTTAACAAATAACGGCGAAGAAGAACAGAAAAATGTTAAACTGAAAACCCTCCAAGTTGCTCTCAATAGCACCCCCTGGACAGCCAAACAACCCCAATCTTTGTCGCGCGGCGAACGCTGAGACCCGCGGCGCAGGCCCGCCCTCCAGGAAGCAGCCCAGATCGGCTCCCAGTCTCGTCGACTCACTGCGCGCGCTCGTTGCCAGGAGCGGGCTCCACGACGCAGCGGCGGCCGTCGGCCGATGGGAGAGGTTAAGAAGCTCAACGCAGGGCCTCGCGTCTACAAACTGTCGCAAAGAGCTCCTTGTCCCGCACTCGCGGGACTTTCCTCAAATCATACCGCGACCCTCCTCCTTCGGATCCTCCAGTCGCTTCTAGGGGTGCCCCGTTTCGGCACTCAGCTTTCTTCTTCCGAAGCGCCCGGTCGCTCATATGATATAGGGCGCTCCGTTTCGGCGGTCAACATTCTTCTTCTGGAGATTCCGGTCGCTTCTATCGCACAGGGCTACCTTTTTTTCGGCAGTCGACGGCGCTTCCGGCCGCCTCCACTATACAAGGCGCCCCGTTTCGGCAGTCAACCTTCTTCTTCCGGAGCTTCCGGTCGCTCCTATTATATAGGGCGCCCCATTTCGGCAGTCAACCTTCTTTTTCCGGAGCGTCCGATCGCTCCTATTATATAAGGCGCCCCGTTTCGGCAGTCAACCTTCTTCTT